CCCCGCCAGCTCCCACGATAAACACAAACAGGCATTGCTTGGTCAAACCTCACTATTGACTTTATAGATACCCTCATCACAGCAATTTAGATACATAGTCTTACCATTTCTTAACTTTTCCAAGTCTTCTGGACTTGTCAAAAATTGCTCTTCAAACTGGAAAGCAGAAACAGTAAAGGAGTTCTTGTTATTCATTCCACAAGCATTATAGAACTTAAAAAAAAAATCTTCATTGTTGCGAGTATTACAGATACTCTCCCTTCCCCCCTCCTCTATTGACCCCCGCTACCCAGTTCCCCCTCCATCCCAGGCCTTCACCACCTTATTATCTTTGTTCATAGTAATGCATATATGCATATAAGATCTTTGTGGGTTTTTTTAAAAAGATCTTTGGTTAATCTTTCCCCTCCCTCCCCCCTTACCTCTGAGATTTGTCAGTCTATTCCCTGTTTCCATGCCTCTGGTTTTATTTTATTCATGATTTATTTTGCTCATTAGACTCCTTGTTTATTTTAATTTTTAGATACAATTGTTGTTACATATGTATTTATTGCCTTCTTCTTCTTCTCCTTCTCCTCCTCCTTCTTCTTCTCCCTCCTCTTCCTCCTCCTTCTCCTTCTCCTGTTCCTCCTCCCCCTGATCTTAAAGAATACCCTTCAATATTTCATGTAATGCTGTGAAGCTCTGACCTTCAATTCTAAATGATAGCTTTGCTGGATAGAGTAATGTTGGTTGTAAGTTCTTGCTATTCATTACTTTGAATATTTCTTGCCATTACCTTCTGGCCTGCAAATTTTTTCTTGATAAATCAGCTGACAGTCATATGGGCAATCTCTTGTAGGTATCTAACTGCTTTTCTCATGCTGCTTTGAAAATTCTCTCTTCATCTTTAACCGTGGGCCTGTTTGGGACTCTCTGCACTTCCTGGACTTGTAAGTCTATTTCTTTCACCAGGTAGTGGCAAGTTTTCTTTCATTATTTCTTCAGATAGGTATTCAATATCTTGCTCTCTCTCTTCTTCTGGCACCCCCATAATTTAAATGTTGGTATTCTTGAAGTTGTCCCAGTGGCTCCTAAACTATCTTCATATTTTCTATTATGATTATTATTATTATTTTTTGCTCTTCTAATTGAGTGTTTGGTTGCTCCCTCATATTCCAAATTGTTGATTTGACTCTTGGAATCCTCTGCTCTACTATTGACACTCTGTTAATTCTTCTTTATTTCAGTTAGTGTATGCTTAATTTTTGACTGGTCCTTATTCAGGTAGTTGATGTTCTCACTAATTTCCTTGAAATTCTCATTAAGCTCCTTGAAAGTCTCACCAAGTCCCTTGAAGCCCTCATTAAGATACTTGAGCAATCTCATAACCATTGTATTGAACTCTATATCTAGTAGTTTGCTTGCGTCCATTTAATTTAGTTTTTTTTCTGGAGATTTCTTCTGTTCTTTCATTTATGACATGAACTCTTTGTACTCAGAATTTCCTCTTTAGAAAAGCCTGACACACACTAAGGTAGAATTCCCAATTAAAGAAAGTAAAAGGGGCTCCCAAATTAGTTTTTAAATTTTAAGCAGAAAACAACAACTTTAGTTTTTTATATGATTCCTGGATGTGAATATCACCTCTTTCATGTACTGTTTTCTGGAACTTGAACACATTACTGATTTTTTCCCTTGTCTATATTCTCATTTATAAAATGTGTATAGATATGGTACCTGAGCTATAGGTTGATGGGAATAAGTTCAGTTAGTTATGCAAAGGCCTTTGAACAGTACCAGGTGCACAGTAGGTGCTCAATAAATACAAGTTGTCATTAGGTTTTAAAGATGACTGCTTTTCATATTAACTATCCTCTCCCTTTATTTTTTAAATTTAAATCAATATAACCTGGGTGAAATACACTCTGTTGTTAACCTACATTCCTTGCCCCACACCCTCTTCAGTCAAGCTGGGATAGAGGAGAGGAAGCCTGGGATGCTCTCAGAATCATCTGCTGCTCACCTCCTGTGCTGAACCCCAAAGGTGAAGTCTGAACTACAACAAAAACGTTGGGCTACTTGTATCCTATATAATAAAGAGGCAATATGCAAATTAACCCTCATGCCCTCACAAGATGGCTGCCTACAACCAGGCTGGCAGGGGGTTAGTGAGGGACGACCAAATGACTGAACAAGCAGGCTATGTGGGGCGACCAGGCCAGCAGGGGATGGCAGTTGGGGGTTACCTGGCTGGCAGCAGGAGACAGCCAGGGGCAACCAGGCCAGCACACAGAGGCAGTGAGGATTCATCAGGCCAGCAAGGGAAGGGGCAGTTAGGGGTGACCAGGCAGGCAGACAGGTGAGCAATTAGGAGCCAGTGGTCCAGGATTGTGAGAGGGATGTCCGACTGCCGGTTCAGTTGGACATCCCCTGAGGCATCCCGGATTGGAGAGGGTTCAGGCTGGGCTGAGGGGACCCCCCTTCCGTGCATGAATTTTATGCACTGAGCCTCTAGTATATATAGAAAAAAAGCTGGGTGGCACTATTTGCATTTCTGAGCACTTTTTTAGTTATGAAATAGAGAAAGGACCAAACTAAACTCCTATGCATTCACAAAACAGTCAAGAAAGTGTAAGCCAAGGCTCAAGTACACATTATTACGGAGGGATAACACTACAACGGAGCACTGGAAGGGAAGCTCCTGTCACCCAATGCTATCTCACCTGAAACCCTCTTTTTTTGCTCTGACCTGAAGAACCAGATTCCTGAATTAATCCATGACTCCCTCCCCGGGAAAACCTGGCTTCCACACAGACGCTGGGGCCCTCTGATCTGGACTGATAGGTGTGTTTCTCATTGACCCCTCTAGGGGGTGGAGCTTGACACAGTGCCACAGAATTGACAGTTTTCCACAGGGAATCTGGTATTTTGACACTGTAAGTGCTTGGCTGTGCTCCTAGATGCTCCCATTCTTCTTTTAATCACCTGTTTACTTGTCTGCATCCTGACTGGACTGTAAGCTTCCTGAGGGCAGGGACCTTGTCTGTCCTATTCATCTGTATCCCCAGAACCTAGCACAGAAGCTGGTACTGAAAGGTGCTCAACAAAATTGTTGCAGAGTGGGTGTATTAAATCTTTTAACACACATTTTCTTACAGTTGCTTCTCCCCATATTTCTGGTTTAGGCTTTAACTTAAATTGCACTTATTTTCTAATAGCATTTTATTTTTATCTCTTTATTATGGAAATTTCTAGCATGCATAAAAATAAACAGAAAATTATCCTCCTGTACCCATCACCCAGCTTCAATAATTACTGACTCAATCCAACCCTATGTCGTGTTTCTGCCCACCACTCTACCGTTCTTGTAATAATTTGAAGCCAATTCTAGACATCATATATTTCACTTTTAAATACTTCAATCTGTTCCTCTAAAACATAAGAATTATTTTTAAAATAACCACAATACATGATCACACTTAAAACATCAACAATGATTCTTTAATATCATCCAATATTCAATCAATGTTCATGTTTTTAATGTTGCATAAATGTTACAAATGATATATTACAGTGTGTTTAAATTCAAATCCAAAGAAGGCCCAAACATTGTGATTAGTTTCTTAAAGTTATTTTAATTGTTTATGTTCCTTAATGAGAATAATTTGTTGTTGTTGTTAATCTACACCCAAAAATACTTTTCCATTACTTTTTTTTCTTTATAGAGAGACTGGAAGGGAGGGAGGGAAGGAGGGAGGGAGGGAAGAGTGAGACAGAGAGAGAGAGAGAGACAGTGATGATAGATAGATAGATAGATAGATAGATAGATAGATAGATAGATAGAAAGAGAAACATTCATGTGAGAGAGACATATCGATTGCTTGCCTCCCTCACCCCCACTGACCGGGGTGGGGATAGAACTGGCAACCCAGGTATGTGCCCTTGACCAGGAATCCAAACAGTGATCTTTCAATTTGAGAGCCATTGCTCTAATCATGAGCAAACGGCCAGGGTGAGAGGAAATTTTAATAATACATTAGGTTGAATCTGTTCACCTCTTAATAACTGGCAGTTTTCGTTTTAATGCAAAACTTATCAGAAGCTAAAAAAAGCTTATAGCTTACTGAGAAAGTGTGGCAGGACAGTAAGCAGCTAGGAAAATTCCTGGGCAAGTGAAATAGGAAAACTGAGACAAGAACATTAAACCAGGCCAAACAACTTGAACAACTTATGGACAGCTAGTGAAACACAAGACCTTATCTTCCCTTACCAAGGACACTTGGGAGCAAATGGTTAATACTTCTCCCTAACCAGAGAATATGTAGCTTAAATCACCTGGTCGGGGAGATAGAACACAGAGACCCAATTAATGCCATTTGTGCCAGCCAAACCCAAGGACAGATGAAGTCATGGGAACAAATAACAAAAACCCCATTAGAACCAGACAGACCCAAGAAAAAGTAAAATAGTAAAACAGACCAAAGAACAACCCCGAAGTCCCTATACACTTATTTGGATGCATCAGCATATTAAAAACACCACTGGAAAGCTGATGAATATTCTATGAAGCCCTCCCCTAAGATTCTCCTCCATAGGAAAACAAAATAGATAAGAAGCCCTCAGGACAAAGACAAGTGCAGGCTCATTCTAGAGCACACCCATGCCCCTTCTTGGGCATGAACTTTTTACTTCCTCCGAAACTCTAAGGGTCTCCGTGAGACTTGCAACTAGGAGAGCAGCAGGCTCACCGCCTCATCCTGTCTCCAAGGCCCCCTTTCCTCTGACTTCCCAGTGAGCTAAAACCATCCCCGCCTTGGCTCACTTCTATCACTGTGACCTTTACTTCCCAGTGAGCTAACAGCAGCTCTGCCTTGGCTCACTTCTTCCCTCTAATGTTTCTCGGGAGCCAAAGCAGACCACTGCCTAGCCTCTCTCCTGTTGCTTCTTCTATCCTAAATCCTACCTTTGCTTCACTGTCCCATCTTTTAAAAGGTTAAATGAATAAGCAAATAAATTTATAGTACTCTCAAAATCACCTGAACTCCTGTTGTGAAACCTTTCCTACACCAAGTCAAGAACCCACACACTACACCGTGGCCTGAGGCAGACCCTCTCCGGGCTGGTCCCAGTCTGGTAACAAAAGTACTTCAATACAGTCAATTTTAGATTCAACTTAAGATGACAGAACTCAGAACCCACCTCAACTCCAGCTGCAGCCAGGAGCCAGCGGATGGACTCCATTCTGCCTCGTGCATTGAAGTAGTGAAGCTTGGGCTTCCCAGCCATGATGCAGTCTCCTGAATTCTCTAAACATGAATGAATGAATGAATGAATCACAAACATTCACTTTATGATGTGTGGTAGGAGAACACCCATAATGCTGAGGGAGTATCTGCCCTATTCATGGCAGAGTTGAAAGAGTCCCTGGAACGTCTTTCTTGGTCTGATTTCTCACCCATCAATAGCCACCCCTGAAAAATTGCTCCAAACCATTGTTATGTCTCTAGTGGGTAATATCTGATTGACTTGGCAGGCAATAGGGGAAAGTGTGTGGTAAAGATGTATTTATGGGTATTACAGGGAGGGGAAGGATTAGAAAAGTAATGACTATTGAAAATCTCCTAAGGATTCTGGCCCTTTGGACATATTATATTTTTAATCCTCTTAACAGCCTATGAATTAGTTATTATACCCATTATTCAGTACATGAAACCAAGGCACAGAGGTTAAATGACACATTCACAGTCATACTCCAGCTAGTGATGGAAATTGAAATCTAAAAGGGAACTAAAAAAGGGCAGGGCCAGAAATCACCCAGGTGTGACCCTGGGAGCCTGTGAGGTAGCTTGAAACCAGAGGACTTCACTGAAGGGGGGGGGGGGGGGGGGGGAGCATAGTCAGTCCTCAGCGCCTTGGAGTTTATGCTGCATTTGTTCAAAAGCTGAAATTATGGCAGAGACTCACTTAATTGTAGCTCTAAAGACCCTAATTCTTTCCACAAACACAGGGTGCTAATTCCTTACCTTTTCTGGAATTCTACATTTTACCTATACTTAGTGTGTTTTATAAGCTAGAAAATTAATGTTACTGCATTAACTTGACAGTCTATGGAATGGAACTAACATTTGTTCAATGCCTATCATACAATGCGCATTCTCTCACCTATTTATCTTCATTTAATCCTATAAAAATCACCTGAGATGGATTCTGTAATTACTCTCCTTTTACAGTAGGAGATACTGAGGCTTCCAGAGTAACTTGCTCAAGGTCAAGTGGTATCCACCAACTTAAAAAATGAAATAAAAAAATAGAAAATACCAGAGTGCATTCTATTAACAACAGATAAGCATTGTTTTGTGAAGTTTAGTTTCAGTTACGTTTGTGTTTGTGTAGATGTGTGCACGTCTGCACACTTGCTTGGTTATTGTAAGAGGAGGAGATAGTTTGTTTGTGTCTGGTCTTTCCCAGGCTGCATAGCAACTGGACATAGCCAGGAACCTGAGAATGAAACTCAATGGCTCCAACAAGGGACACAACTAGGTCTATCATTGTGTGAATGGAAACACACAGGACCCATTAAAGGCATGAATCGTATCCGTAGCTGGCTTGGCTCAGTGGATAGAGTGACAGCCTGCGGACTGAAGGGTCCCAGGTTCGATTCCGGCCAAGGGCACATGCCTTGGTTGTGGGCTTGGTCCCTAGTGGGGAGCGTGCAGGAGGCACCCGATCAATGATTCTCTCTCATCATTGATGTTTCTTTCTCTCTCTCCTTCTCCCTTCCTCTCTGAAACCAATAAATAAATACATTAAAAAAAAAAAAAACATAGCGAAAACCAAGATGGCAACATAGGTAAACACCTGAAATTGCTGCCTTGCACAAGCACTTCAAAAATACAACTAAAAGACAAAACAGACATCATCCAGAACCATAGGAAGGCTGGCTGAATGGAAATTCTGCAAAAATAAAAACAATAAAAGCATGAATCGCAAAGCCAGGACTTAGGGAGAAACAGTTGCATTTTCTTTGTAAATCCCAAGTGCTGTTTAGAAAACATTAATTCTCCTGGAAAATTTTGTTGTGGAGTTTGAGACAAAAGACATACTTCTCTTTACCCAATGGATATATCTCTGAAAAAGTGAGTGGACTTGAATTTTAATACCAAAATGTTTTTAATATACACATTGTGGATATGAGATTCATGAATCTAAGCTTTAGAAAGAAAAGACTATTGTGGAAACATATTTAATCAACCTGCTTAATAGGGTTTTTTGTTTGTTAGTTTTTAAAATATATTTTTATTGATCTCAGAAAGCAAGGGAGAGGAGAGAGAGGTAGAAACATCAATGATGAGAGAGGATAATTGATTGGCGGCCTCCTGCACGCCGTACACTGGAGATTGAGCCCGCAACCTCCTAGTTCTTAGGTTGACGCTCAACCACTGAGCCATGCTGGCTGGGCAATCAACCTGCTTTATAAGTGGAGGCTTTGTCTATTGTACTTTCTTATCGTGGGACATGGAGATGCAATGATTCAGCAGAAGGAAGAGGAGAATTTAGCATTAGCATGTGGCAGGTGTTTGCTATGGACTAGAATTCGCAGAGCTTAGTGACAAATCCTCTCACTAAGCTCCCTCCTCCATTGATTGAGGATCAAGTTACAAAGAGAAATAATTTCTATCTTATGTAATGTTTTATCATAAAGCTCCTCCTTAAAAGCAACTTTCTTCCCCTCCCAAATAGGAGGTACCCAATGTCCTGATATGACTGGGCCAAAAGTTATCATGAAACTTTGCCTGGTCAGCAGAAAATGAGAACCCCAGATGGTCAACGACTTGCCAGAGCTCACACACCTTTGTTCCTGATTCTCAGTATCTACTTACTGTGTCTACCATCTACAACGACCCTAGGAAACAGCTTCTAATATCCTCTTTTAAAGACAAGGAAACTGAAGTTTAAACAGATAAAGCACCACCTCTACTCTCCTATGTTTTGTTAGTGTTAGGCTAGTTTGAACTCGTCTTCTGATTTCATAACACTTTGGCAGGCTTTGTGCTTCTCTCCTGAGACCTTTGTTCATTTTTCCCATTCAGAACCCATTAGTCAGCTAATGGTTAAAGAGGCAGGAAAGAGAAAAATATTGAACTCCCAAGGTCCTTTTTGTTCCCTGATTTTTAGTGGTTTGACAAGAAGAAATATTAATATGTGCATGCCTTGCTGTACATTGATATCCTAAAAAACTATGAGTGAATATAGCATCACTATATTTCACCTGAATAAGGAAGTCAGCTTATATTCCTTGAAAGGAATATGTCCTATGATAATTCCGTAGTAAAGTAAAGGAGCTAAGTCTCTCGGGGTGGTTCTCATCACAGAGTTTTTTTAATAAAATCAAATCCAAATGATTTACTATCACAAGAAATGCAAAAGGACTATATCAGTTACTAACTTATAAAACTGGACTAAAACCAAAATTAATTATATGCTGCTTTAAGGCACAGAAGGACTGAAGCTGGTGCCAGCCCTCTGGGAGCCATGTGTGTGGTAGACACAGTTACCAGACCAGCTCCTTGCCGTCAGGGTCAGAGTCAACTGAGAAACACAGGAACCAGGACTGGTCCCTGCTCTCATTGGTCTCAGTCTGGTGGGCAGACATGAGAACCTGAGTAGGTCACACCCCTCATTTGTCACACCCTGCTAAGGTTAAACACTGGGACCAAGCCTGCTCCATGCCCTCAGGGGTCACAGACTGCTGGGGGAGAACAGACATCAGATTGGGTCCCCTTGCTGGAGTCAGTGTCTTGTGTCATTCAGCGGAGAGCTAGTCCCTCGCTGTAGTCCTGGAAACCAGCAGCGCTGTCCCAGCGACCCTCCAACAAGTCCCGGATTTATTGAGGCTGGTTTGCAGGCTCCAAGACAGCCCTCACGGCATTTCTTAGCACAGAGATGGGAGACATAGAGACAAAGCCCAACTCCTTTCCTTGTAAGGTTCATAAAGTGGTCAGGTTGTTTAATAATTGCACCCCAATTCTCTCTTCTAAAAATAGAGATAGGTAATATGTACTTTTGAGGGCTATTGAGAAAATTAAATGTGAAAATGTACATAAAAGTCATTAATAGGAATTAGTAAATGGAGGTCCCCACCTGTTCTCAGTTCCAGGGAGATGGGTGAGTCTTTGGACACATTGGTTAGCACATGTGTCTTCTTTTATCTGTCTGTCTATCTATCTATCTATCTTCTTCATCATCATCATCTATCTGTCCATACTCCATCATCTGTCTATTGTCTACATCTGCCAATCATCTATTTGTCAATTTATTTATCTATTTATCTAGCTAGCTATCTCTTGACTCAGAGTTCCAGAACAATGATATTTTATTCACTCATAGTCATTCTGAATGTTATCCAGCTTTTTTCATTAACCATGTTCTCCTAACAGACACTTATTTTGTGTATTTAGTTGGAAATACTTTATGGTTGACTTTGCAGTTGGCTGTTAAATCTATGTCATCTTTCCAAGATAAAGTTGTTTTCAAAAATGCAGTAATTCTCTATCCACTTTCACCTCTCATTCAACTCCACAGACTGTAAATAGCACCAGGATGGAACTCTACCCCACTCTGTGTTCTTCCTGCAAGTACAGAGTGAGATGAAGGGAAAAAGTGAGAATATTAATCTTAACTGTGGTGACTGAATCGATAAAGTGATGATTTCTTGTAAAACTTGTAAACAAATGCTCATTGCTGCTGCTTAAAGGTGTAAAGCTTGAAAATTTGAGAAAATATATGTTAACACTATTGTCAAGTACATTCTTGAAACTAAATGCACATTTCTTTAATATTTTTCAACAAACAAGCAAAAAAAATAGAACAATGAACAGGACACCTCCTCACAAACGTATTACCCAGCCCAACACACTAACAGCACCACACTTGGGAACCCTGTTCCAGCCATTTCCTAGACTGGCCATGAACCCCAGGAGAACACGGGACTTCTCAGTTAGCTAATCACAGCAGAGACTGAGAGCAATCTAGTTCCACTGACATTCAGACTGATTTTATCCTATCATGATAAATTTAATTTTGAACTTTCACAGCCTCGGTAGTATTACAGTATTACCATTCACAATGGCTGCGCGTTGACTCTTTCGACAGAGAAAGCAACTTTAGTACAAACACCTACACTCTCTTGCACTGATCAGATTCTCAGATTGCCTAAAAGGCTATCATTTTTTTCTCCTCATGTTATTACTTTTTCTCACACCACAATGCTCATGCTCTCGCTTTCTAAATTCTTCTATTTTACATTTTCATAAAGATGCATCCAACAGTAATAGAATGCACAACTCTTGAACTGTTCCTAAGCACACCAAGAAGGCACGATGTGAGTATAAAACAGACATTTTCTTGTACTATGGACACATTTTGAAATATTGTTTTGGTGACTTCACTGTGAGAATGTGGTGCTATATATGAAGGTTTATAAAACCAGTACTTACCTTATTAAAATCTGTCTCCCACTTGTCTCAGCAACTCACAGCCACCTCCTCGTTTGTTTAGAAGCCGGTTTTACAGTTGAATAACTCCTCCTCTCTGAAAGAGGGAGCTTCCAGATAAGGGAAATCCCCTCCCACAATGTTCAGGGTCCATGGGTTCAATGCCAAATAAGAAGAAAAATGGCAAGTCATCCTCGGATCACGAAACGACTGGTTAATATGTTCCTTCTCAAGGTCAGCAAATAAAAGATTAAACAAAACTTTTCAGATTGTGAAACTCTCTCTGCCAATCAGTGGGCAGAGAAGGGCCTTTTTGAAGGGCTTGCTGTGATTGTGAAACTCTCTCTGCCAATCAGTGGGCAGGCCTTTTTGAAGGGCTTGCTGAGAGGTTTGCATGAATTGGATGCAAGGACTAAGGCAAATAACAAACCTCTTCTGTGAGCAGCACAGGGAGCTGAGGTCAGTAAAGGGCAAGCTGATGGTGGAATACTTTTTCTGTTGGGTTTTGGACAAAATACAGGACACCTGATGAAATGTGAATTTCAGACAAGGGACACACTTATTCCACAACATTATTTATTGTTTATCTGAAATTCACATTAAACTGGGCATCCTGTATTTTCTCTGCTAAGTCTGGCAGCCTGGTTAGTACACCTTTTCCTCTATGCCACACTCATATCAGGCTTGCTAGCCGCTGGGCCTTTGCATGAGCCATTTGTTCTGTTTGGAATACTCTACTTTGAGCCACTACAGCATTTTGACCTTATATGTTTAATATCAGTTTTCCCCAAACTCTGTGAAGTCCTGAGAGTGGGGCTTTTATCTTGTTTCCAGTCATGTCCCCAATTGTCTGGCACAGCACCTGGCGCATAATAGCTCAATAAATAACGTAGTTTTTTAAATTATTAAATGGACTATTTCCAGCAAATACAATCATAGAGAGAATGGTAGAAAGTAGAGAAAGCCCAACATACCCATCCCCCTGCTTCAGAATTGCCAACAATGTTGTTGATCTGTACCTTGTTGTGGAGGGTGCGGGGTGGTCATGGTGGTGGCCTCCTAAAAAGACAGATCCATGTCCAAATACCTGGAACCTGTAAATGTGACCGTACTTAGAAAAAGGGTCTTTGCAGGTGTAATTAAGTGAGGGAACCTGAGATGACATCATCCTGGATTATCCAGGTGGGCCCCAAATCAAATGACGAGTGTCTGTACAAAAGAAGAGAAGACACAGACACACAGAGGGTGAGTTGATGTGAAGATAGAGGCAGAGATTGGAGTGATGTGACCATGAGCCGAGGAAAGCAAAAAGCCACCAGAGGCTGAAGGAGGCAGGAAAGGGTTCTCCCCTAAAGCTCTGGAGGAAGTGCAGCCCAGACAACACTTTGAACTTCTGGCTTCCAAAAGTGTGAAGAATACATTCTGCTGTTTTAAGTCCTTCAGTTTTAGTAATTTGTTATAGCAAACACAAGAAACCAATATATGGGAACCTACTTCTCCCAACAATGGGATATTATTTTGAAGCTGATCAGCTGCCTCCCGCACATCTCCCACTGGGGATGTGCCCGCAACCCAGGCACATGCCCTCAACCGGAATCGAACCTGGGACTCTTCAGTCCACAGGCCGACGCTCCATCCACCGAGCCAAACCAGTTTCGGCTCGTGAGGGTTTCTTTACAGTGGACTTATTTGCATCAGAGTCCATGCAAGATCCCTATGTTGCACTTGAATGATATGAACACATCCATGAAGACATGAGTGAATGAATACAGATGTCAGGCAGAGGAGGGGGTGAGGAATTCCCAAAGCCCAGACTCAAACCCTTAGGTCATCAAGCTGTGGGTGGAGTTGTCCAAGGTGTTATGGCCATTTGTGATGGAGCAGTAAGGATGCCAACACCATGCCTGAACACCAGACCCTCTCAGGAGAGTGTGGAGGCACAGTGGCATTCAGCTTTGTTAGAGGGCTCTGTGGGAAGGTACAGAGGAGAGCCCGACTCACCCTGGGAAGCAACTGAGGTGAGGAGCTAAGCATGGCCACGTGGAAAGGAAGGGGTTAAGAGGGCTGTGAGGAAGGATCCCCAGTCATGGGACTCACTGAAGGACTTAAAGAAGGTGGTGATACTCAAATGTGCATTTTAGGAAAACCATTTTGGTTGCAAGGAGACAGCAGACTAGGTGGAAGTGAAGCTACAAACAGGGAGCCCTGTGTGTCTGTCAGCTCCCTCCCCGTGCTATGAGGAAGTATGCCAAAGCCAAAAGCCCAGATTTTCTGGGAGGGTGTTCATTAGGAGCCATGAATGTGGCCAAAGTTAGAAATCACTCCTAATCCAGCCACTCTGGCCCAGTGACAGGCCAGGAAAATAGAAAAAAGATTTTATATGCATTCAGTAACATATAATTTATACATGTAATCTGTACCTTGGAAGTCCAGGTCTGAGCAACATTGAGTGATCTCAGAGAAAGCTCAGCCAGGGCCCCACAGAACATTAAGTAGCAGAGCGTTGATATACCAAGGAGTCATGGACTGAAAGGCACCAGAGAGCAGAGCTTTGGTTTGTTGTCTTGTTCATCATTTCCCCAACCCCTAGGACACTAATGAGTCTGTAGTAGGCATATCGCTGTTGTATTGCATGACAGCAAAACTCATAACCAAAACATTTTTATTACCAGAAGGAAAGCAGCTCTTAAAGAAAATTTCTTATGCCATTACCAAGAGGGGTAGCTATTTTCTTGTGAACAACTGAGAATGTCAGATATGAATTCTACACTCAACTCTTTGAAGAGCTTTGTGACAGACACATGACAATTACTGGAAAAGATAAAAGAGACCTCATAGTCCATGTTTCCATTTTTTTATTTAATTTTGAATTCGAAGAGAGATGCAATCGAAGGAGACTGAAAATCTGATTTCATATTGGATCATAATGAACAAGAATAAATTGTAAATAAATCAGCTCATGGTAGTTTATTATTTGATTACTTGCAAAAGCTTATTATTCTCAGAAAATCCAAGGTAGAGCATTTCACTGTTGGATAACTTCAGAAAATTGCTCCTGCATGTGCTAGGAATCCATGCCTGCATTATTTAAATCTTGAAAATCTCCCTGGCTGCTTTTACTGCTTTTGCATCTATGGGAGGCTTCCTCTGACTGCCGGGCTGCAGAAACTTCTTCACAGGAGGGAGGTTGCTGATCCTGGTTTTCAGGGCCTGCAATGCACAAAGCACAGCCTCAGATGGAGACACAACACCCAACCCTCATTACACAGGCAACGGAATCAGAGACCCTCGTAGACAGGACCAACGGAGTCCCCTCTATCAGCACCAGCAGGGGGCTGGGAAAGGGACACCCAGCAAGACAAGAAGATAAGAGGAAGGAAACACAGCCCAATAGCACTTTCCCCAGAGACAGGATTCAGTTCACAGTCTTCTTCCCACATGGAAATCCTGTGGATTCTCACTCTTGTGCAGGCAAGGAAGACTAATGTGACTGTCAGAGCAACACAGGTAAAGGCTCCAAACGGGAGAAATGAATATGTGGGACAACTGGGCTGGAACTGAAGAGAGAAAATATAGGTCAACCATGTGGACAGTCAAAAGCAATCTTCCCTGTGAGAGAGAGACAGACAGACAGAAAGAGAGAAGGGGCGGTGGGGAGAGAAACACAGTATCTGAGAGAAGGAGCAGGAGCTGAGAGAAGCACATCAGAGGAAGGAGATCTGCTCACACAGTCACAGGTAAGAGAGACGAGGACACAGGGGGGAGGAAGGGAATCCCAGAGAAAATGAGGACAGATACTGCATGGAATAGGGCTGAGCACAGAGACGCTAAGCCCTGGGTCCCGCTCATTGTGAAAGACAAACTATTCTCCTTGAGGCAGCATCCACCTCCAATTTCCTTGGCAAAACAAGATTCTCCTGCCTCAGAACAGGGCCTATGAGCAAATTTTGGAGACCTGGGGGCAGTGGGGAGTGGACAATGATGTGATCATAACATGGCCAGTCCAAGAACCCAGATATTAGATTCCAAGATGGGAGATGTGGGTTCCCTCCCCAGGGCTGTGAAAGGGGTCACCTTCAACAGCGGGAAGTTGGCCAGTAGGCTGGGGTCAATCTCTTCAACTTGGTAGATAAGTTCAACCAGGTGAATGTCAGCCTTGCTCAGCCTGTTGCCAACCAGGTAGTGTTGTCCATGGCTCTTCAACACCTGGGGGAGGGAGCAGGTTATGAACACAGTTGCACTCAGGCTGGGTCCCCCTGCTCCTCCCAGGTCTCTCCATCCCAGCTTCCCATCTGTGCTGTCTCACTGGACCGGTGCAGAGCATCAGACCACATTCATCTCCCCTGACTCAATGAGACAGAGAGTAGCAGGTCTTTGCTGTTCCTTCCTCACCCCTCAGCTGAAGCCCAGGCACCCATCTCATTCTCCCATTCCCACGTCACTGGGCTCCCTCTGTGCATGTTGGTCTGGCCAGGGCTTGCACTGACTGCACTGTGTTTCTATGTGCCACACGCCCGGAAGCCTCAGCAGCTCTGAGATTTCAGGACTTGTCTTTCCAGGCTGTTCTCTCTCTCTCCTTCGGGCAAAGACTCCATCTTCATGACATCCTTCCTCAATCCTGAGAACACTATTTCAGAGTCTATATTTCTCTTCTTGTCTGCTCGTCTCATTTCCAGGTCTACCTATGTAGGATCTGAAATAATCCTGGAACAATTTGAACTCACCATTTGTCTTACAACATTGTCTCTTACTCCTGAGCCACCCGTGCCTCTCAATAACATTGGGAGAATTTGTTACAATTCACCTGTGAACTACCTAAGGTGACTGCACTTGTCGGTAACTTACTTCTAAATGCATCAAAAAATAATGTTTGGCCCTAACTGGTTTGGCTCAGTGGATAGAGCATCGGCCTGAGGACTCAGGGGTCTCAGGTTCGATTCCGGTCAAGGGCATGTACCTTGGTTGCGGGCACATCCCCAGTACGGGGTGTGCAGGAGGCAGCTGATCGATGTTTCTCTCTCATCGATGTTTCTAACTCTCTATCTCTCTCCCTTCCTCTCTGTAAAAAATCAATAAGTATATATTTAAAAAAATAATGTTTGATTATAG